TTCCCTATAAATCTATTTATAATATTTCCAATATTTACCACTCCGTACGAGACCAAGGCCCTTGTTCGGCAAACAGCTGGTTGAATGCCAGCATCTCTTATAGCTGCTCAATTTTATCGACAATTACTCAAATATATCTAAATTTTATAAGTACTCGGACTTTTATATGTGCACTTGATCTTTCCATACAATTATTATATAGCATAGATATACGAGTTTTCTCACAGATAACGTTTTCAAAATAGGGTGAGAATATAAACCAGTTCAATCAATACTTAAACCACCTTTAAAGAAAGTTTTGATAGTAATCTACCATGATGACTATTTTTTTCTTTTTTGTGAAATTCTAGTCCAAATATCCAAAATACTCTTAAAAACACATGTTTCTGGCATATGATATTTCTAAGTTCGGTTTATGTTTGATTAAGAAGACAAGTTAACATGCTTTGCAAGTGTATTTTTAGGGGTATTTTTTAATTTTCAATTGAATTTTACCCAAAAAAAATAGGTCAAAGTAATTGGTTGCTGCTACATGTATTCACGAATGATGTTGTTCAACGATTGTTGAGGTTGATGTTATTGGTGGATACTACTCCCATTGGAGAGGGAGGGAGGGAGAATCAACATAAGTAGGGAGCATTAATTTTACTGGATAGTTAAGAGAAAATACTAACATGGGCTTATTGGGCATGTTTTGTGTAAGTTATAAGATTTGCGGATTAGTTTGAGGGTTTTAACATAAAAAGTTTTTAACTTTTATTTAAATTGAAACTTATCATCTTAGTTTTTTATAGAAACTGCCCACATTTGCTACATGTTCTCAATGTTACACTTTTTGATATTTTTTGTAAAAAAAATTGAAGTTCCTATTGTACCCCCCAATCTAACCAAAGAGAAAGAAGGAGAGGAGGAGGAGGATGAAGGGGAGAGGGGAGGGAGATTGGTGGTGATGAGATCAATGGAGGGAGAAGGGGAGAGGAGAGAGAGATTGGTGGTAATGAGATCGATGGAGGGAGAAGGGGAGAGAGGGAGATTGGTGGTGATGAGATCGGTGAGGTGAGGAGAGGAAAAGGGAGGATGTCGGCGGTGAGAGTGGAGAGAGAGGAGGAGGGGATAGAGGAAGAGGTGGAGGAGAGGAAGGAGGTGAGAATGGAGGAGGAGGAGGAGAGAGGAGGAGGGAGGCGGAGGGGGAGTTTAGAGTTTGGAGAAATCCTAGAGGTGGAGTAGATGGTGGATGAGGCAGAGGAGGCAGAGGAGGGGAGAGGAAAGGAAAGGGAGGAGGTGGAGGGAGCCATTAGTAGAGGGGAAGTGGAGGGGGAGGAGATGAGGGAATGCATTAGGATTTGGAGAAATCGTAGAGGTGGAAGAGATGGTGGAGGACGTGAAAGGGATAAGAGAGGGAAGGGAGGATGTGGAGGATGACGGGGAGGGGGGAAGTG